CGATCGCCTGGTGCCCCCCCTAGCCTCCCCGCTGGTGGGGTGGGGTGAGAGGCAGAAAAGGCCTTGGCTCTGTGTCAGCCCTGCCCAGCAGTAACAAAACCATCCCTAGGTTATCAACACTGTTTTCAGCACAAATCCAAAACATAGCCCCATACTAGCTACTGTGAAGAGAATTAACTCTACCCCAGTCCGAACCAAGCACAAAAAGTAAGTGTCTAACAAAACATTTGGTGCTTAAAGAAAATAGTGAGTCAGTATTTTCCTGCCAAATGTATTACCAAGTGTCGTGGTTGAATAGCAAGCTACTGAAAGGGCCTAGTTTTCTGCATTGTGAAGCTTCTGTCATTTGATTTAAATGCAGGATTTCAACCTTTGTATCCTTCTACAAAACTGCAAAACAGTGAAGGAGGGGAAAAGAAGGTGAAACAGTTCTGCTCTAGCAAGGAGCATGTGGAAATAATATCATGCTCAGGTTTGCATTTGTTGCCTTTTCAAGGGTAACCAAGTGTGTGCTTTCAGCCTGGTCAGAGGGCTTTTGGGAGATGGAAGGGATGTACAGCAATCTTTTTACTCTTTCACTAATTTATCCCTTCCTCTTTAATCCGAGTATGCCTGATGGCAGCCACAGCAAAACTTTAACTTTTTGGGGTGGCTAGAAGTGCCACAGCGGCAAGGTGGAGCTCTGAGCTGTAAGAGATGCAAGAAGCTGGGGAAACATGTAGTCCGTGATGAATTCTGTGCTGTGTGCCTGTCTTCCTACTGTTACCTGAGATAGCAAGGGTTATCTTTGGTTTTCCTGTGCAAGCTACAGCTCTGAAATGAAAAAGTTCCTTCTCTGTTATAGTAATTTTTATCTTATTAGAACAATTCCGTTCCACAATGTAAGTGCATGTGCCGTGATGTTAGGATTGTGCGTCTCTGTTGCCATAGCAAATGGAAAAACAACTCTAGAAGGTTTTGAGGAGCAGTATATTAGGCTTGGACAAGTCTTACAGCAGATGACATCCTTGTGGCTGTGCAAAAAAACCCAAAACCTGGCAAGCACCCAGATCTACTTTTATGGATAAGTATTAATTGTCTGCAGACTGTCTGGCAAGAAGAATTATAATAATTAGAGATATAACTGTTTATCTAATCTTGTTCCTTTGCCTCCTTGCATGCTTTTTCTGAGCCTAGATTTGCCTTGCTATGATCATTGACCACTGTTTGCACAGGCATTGGGGATTGGGGGTCTGTGTTTCTCCAACTGGCAAACCCATTCTGCTAGCTAGAATGAGGGGGGTTTTAATCACTTGTGCCCCTGGAGCATTTGTTGCCTGACTAATTTCATGGCCCTACAGTTAAGTGGCAAGATTTCTGTGTGACAGTGTTAGAGAAAGAGCCTGTTCCGCAGAGCATACAATTCAGCTGTATGCACAGGGTCATGAGATTTAAACCCCGTTTAAGACCTTTTTAAGCTCCTTGGGCTTAGCTGCTGCGTAGAGTGTTGCCTTGCAGAAGCGAGGGGAGTTTGACATGGTAAGAATAATGGGTAAATTATTTTTAAGGAGGCTTGGGTTTTTTTGCTTTATTTTACTTTGTGGGTATTTTATTTTTGGAAAGGAGACAATGACCTGCTGCAGTCTGGGAAATGTGAGCTTGAAGTTTGCCATGTAGTCTTTTTGGATGCAAGTCACTTAGGACTCAGAATTACATTGCCAAAACAAGTGGGATCTTTATAGGTTTCTTTGGGATCATGAACACCTTCTACCTCTGTTTAGTAGTTTTCCATATTGAGAAGGGAATAATCTGTACTCATAAATGTTGCTGTGGTTTGTGCTTTACCAGGATGACCTGAAGACTTCGGGTAGTTTCTGACTTTATGAGAACTCTGAAAAATACATCAGCATAAACCCTTGACTCCTATCCCAATACTTGATTTTCTTAAAACAAATGTTTTGCTAATTAAAAGGTGATTAAATGGTTTCCCAACTTCTTGTTACTGTGCAAAGAATTTGTTGTGGTTAGATAATTATGAGAGAAATCTATTTCTTTGAATTAGTGTTTTTCTCGTGTGTGGGAACTGAGCTGTATAGGTTTTGGGGGGTTTTTTTTGAAGCCTTTAATAGATTTTAAAAACTCCAGAAAGTTTGCCTGATTCTCCTGGGCCATAAATAAAATGTTATCACTGGCTTCATATGCTTCACTTCAGGGATTTGTTTATGATAGTAATTTTCAGTATAGCTCGGGGAAATTGTGTTAGTGGATGGGTGCCTAAAGTAAAACTCTGGGCAGCGTTGCTTCCTTCCAGCTCTCGGTGGGCATCTCCTCCAGGGAGTATGGAAGCTCTTCTGGAGTCTGCAGAGGCCTGCAGGAACCCAGTAAATTTATTACCTTGGAGCTTTTTGCTCTTTCCTTATCCCATATCTGTTTCCCTCTTTTCTGCAGAGCAGAGTATCTGTAAATGCGACAATCTTGGTGCTATGTCTTGTTAAATTGCACCCCATGATTTCTGGAATTTCTGGGATCTCATGATGGCTGTTCTTCAGTTTGGGGCAAGAAGGACTGAACTATGTAGTTTTTTGAGTCTGTGTTCTCTCACTCCTTGCTTTAGGATAGGAACTGAACTATAAAAATGGGCATGTCTGGACAAACTCTTGGGCAAGTGGCTCAAAGTGACCCTGCCTGAGCAAGGGGGTTGGATGAGGTGACCTCCAGAGGTCCCTTCCAACCGCAACCATTCTGTGATTCTGTAAAGAATCAATTCCTTGTGTGAACTATATTTAGTTAAATAGTGATAAGTTTAAATGAAGGCAGGCATACAAGGAATGTACTATTGTGGAAGAGAGATACTTATATAAGTATTATGAGGAAAAAAATAATTTTTACTGCTAATTACGATGTGTGACTGGGCTCAGTGATTGTTTGCTTCATATTTTAAAGCAGTAGTATCTACACAGTATGTGCAAACTGGTCATGTTTATTTTTTGAATGGGAAAGTGAAAAGTAATTTCATTCTTAAAGTCTGTGCTTAAAGTTCCAGTTCCAAAAATCATGTAGTGGAAGAGCAACCTATAGAATGCATTTTTCAATGTGTCGACCTGATGAGGTAACAGGCAGCGTGCTCAAAAAGTGTGTTTTCACTCTCTTTCAGGTAATTGAGAATGGATCCTCAGCAATGCTAGGTCTACAATGGGAAGTGTCACACTTCGCTATTTCTGCTATGGGTGCCTTTTCACATCCGTGACCTGGACGCTTCTGCTCTTCATTTATTTTAACTTCAGTGAAGAGAACCAATCCTTCAAGAATGTGCCCGTCAAGGGGCTGGAACCTCAGAGGCCACTTCCAAAAAAATTCTACCCCCGTTTTACACGGGGGCCTGTTCATATACCTGAACTGCAACAGAAAGAGAGTAAGATAGGAAATCCTCTTGGAAATCATGTCCAGGACCCAGTTAAGGGGGAGGTAGAATTCTCCCCTGAAATGGGTAAGTGGTTTTCAGTGCTGGTGACAAAACTATTAAAACAGTAGAAGAAATGAGATATTAAGGTTGGTTGGTTTGTTTTTTAAAGGATCACAGGGAAAATTGTATAATGAATTAGTTTTGTTTGTTAAAACGCAGGTGGTACTAGTGGCTGTCTTCATGAGGAATTACTTGACATTTATTCTGTTGTGTTTAATGCAAAATATATTGTTCCTAGCATTTACTGTGCTGTATGTGCTAATGAGGAGGACTGGATTACAGCAAGGTGTCTACCCTTGGTGTAGTTCTTGGTCTTGGAAAGTTCACTATATGCTAGTTTCACATCTTACTCGTGTGTTGACTGGGCTCACATACATGAACTTTTATTAGCCACAGAGAAACTCTACTCATATGCAGCAATTAAAAGTAGCTTGATAGCAATACACAGTGAAGAGGACCCATTGGTTTGGAGAATATCCTTGGAGTATGAAATCATCTACAAAAAATGTGTGTGTGTGTGACAAATTACAATGGAAGATTTATTGAGATGACAGTGGTTAGGGCCAAGTCCTGCTTACTTTGCACCAACAGAGATCTGTGTGTTTCGTTGGAGCATATTTCATCAATGAGATGATTTGGGTTTGTCTTCCAAACTAAAGTGCTTTGTATATTTAACTGCTTACAGCTTAGTGTTCGCTGTTGTGTTCAGATGTGCAAACTGAGACATGCTGCATACTGGCCTGCAAATTTGCTTTAAATCTGGAGGCAGATGTTGGGTATTGTGGTATTAGTGTCTGCTGCTTTGGGAATTATGGCATAGTACCCTTCATAACCAGGAGTTTAATACTCATATCTAATTGAAGTCCTCTGTCATTACTTTGGATGAATTCTGGATCACCAGCTTCAAGAGTTTATATAGCTTTACCAAACTTCAGTTTCAGAGCTGGTCATTAGACCTATGTGAATATGTGGGAAAAATGCCAATTCACGTTGCCCTGTGGCATTACAAATGTTTATCCGTTCACTGCAAAAAGCACTAGAGCCAAGTGAGCTGAAGGCCAGTCCAGAGATGGCCATTTCTTTCCAACTATTCAGTACTGGCCAGGAAAGAAATCGGACCTTTTTAACTGAGAAGTCCCTTGATCTTCAAACCAAGTGACTGGTTTGGTTGGTGAAAGCCAAGGGGAATTCTAGTGCCAGGATAAATTCTACATGAATCATCAGGAGACAGCTGGCGCTCTGTTACGGTTAGATCAGGTGCTGCAGGAAAGGGCTTCATGTCTGTCTAGGATAGGGCAGTGGTAAACACACAAAGCAAAAAAAAGAAAATAACTTTGGCGTATGATAGCCAAACCCAAATATCTCTCTCTTTTTTTTTTTTTTTTTTTTTTTTTTTTTAATCTGGGAGAGCTACGTAACACTGTTGAAGTAAAGCCTAAACTGATGTTTCAATTGCAAGGCCCTTACTTTCCAAGGGCTTTATCTGCTGTTTAGACTGAAATCTTTCAGGCGTTTTCATGCATTTTGGATATTGTTCTTCATGAGAATGTTTTAAAAATATTAGCATTCCTTCTTGTCTATATTCAGAAGATCAGAAAAAAGTAGCTAGTGGTTGGTTATGGACAGATTGTAGAAGGAAACATTTGGTATGTGTTTCTTAAGCTCATGCTTTGTGTAAAGAAAATGTTTTAAGTTGACCCAGTGGCACAGTGTTACTGTGACGCTGAGTATCCAAGAATGAATGACTGAACTGACAAGCTGGAAACCTTACTTTGGACATGCATGTGGCTCAAAGGAGGACTGATTTACCACTTTAGACTGCTGGTGCTGGAAGAGTGGCACTGCCACTGTGAACAGACCTCATTCCTGTGCCAATGATGCAACTTATCTACAGTGGGAGTGCTCATCCGTGAGCATGATAGCATCAGTTGCCACATGACACACTATAAGGGCATAGCCCACGTCTTTTCCAGATATCACTACCCAGCACTTCCCACTTGGTCCTGCACAAATGTCAAGGCATCTGCTCTTGAGGTGTTTGATAGCAATGGCAATGCAGCTGCACTGTACTCAAGACTAAAGGTGACAGGGTGGGAAATATAAGTGGTGGGAATGTGGGTGCACAGAATTCCCTCTAGAAGGTCATCTTAAACCTATAGGCAGTCTTTGTTGCTGAAACACAACTGGTCGTGGCAGAGCTGTGCTCTGAAGGCCAGCTAGGACTACTTGTTTGAAAAGGAGGAAAGCTTCAAAACTTTTTAAATGACCTTTTCTTCTATTCTGTTTTTTAACCCATCTCATTTTCTCTGTACTCAGCTGGCTTTTGCATAGCTGTTGAAAACTAGAGAACATGAGGTATGAAGAGAGGCTGAGAGGATTCGGTTTATTCTGCCTTAGAGGGAAGGCTAAGGGGTGATATTTTATTGCTATCAACAGCAACTTAATGGGAGGCTGTATGGGAGGTGGAGCCAGACTCTTTCCAGCAGTGCACGGGATTATGATAAGAAATTAAAGCAAGGAAGAGATTTCTGTTAGATAAGAGGAAAAATATTCTCAGTGTGATGGTGATCAAATACTCTGAACAGGGACATGAAGAGGTTGTAGAATCTCTATCCTTGGAGTACTGGAGGCTTTCAAAACTTAACTGGACAAGTTCTGAGCAATCTGCTTTGTGTAGGGTATTAGATCAGATGTCCCTCCCAGCCTAAATTAGTCTATGATTCTATGAAACATATTACCCTGGATGTATGGTAGCATGTGAATGATAAACCCCCTTGTTAATTATTTTCTGCAGATTTTGAACCATATGGAGATGATGGGCAGGGTGGAAGGAGATAAATTACATGATCCTTGCTCCCTTTTTGTACTGAAATTTCAGTGAAATTGCCTCTGTAGCTTGCTAATAGCTGGGGAGGACATATGCATCTCATTCTGTGCAGCCAGCTGAACAGACGATAAAGTCCTTGCTCTGCTACCTGGAATGTTGCAGATGTGGCTAGCTCCCTCCTCTCCCTCCTTTTTTGCAGTAGAAGGGTTGAGTGAAGCACCATAATATTTTGTTTCTATTCACACTGGTGAGTGTATGGCTCAGTGAGAGAGAAGCCCATGGCACTGAGTCAAGGCAGGCAGGATGGCATTGAGGATTTCAGCCTTGGCCTCTAGCAGTGTACTTAATTTATACCAGCAGTTGTTGCCTCTGCCATGCTTAGCAACAGTTGATGCTTCTGCTAAAATAATCAGTAGAAAACCTTCTAGCTCTGTTGCTGTTTTACTTGCTGTTCAAAGTCCCAGGTGATATAAGCAAGAAGTTTACAGTTTTTCGTAGCTATTTTTATGTTACTACAGACTTGAAAAAACTGCATGAAATTGGAGCTGCTATTGTAAGGGGTTTTGTACCATTGTAAATGTATTTTCTCTCAAAAATCCCATCACGGACCCTTCATCTGTATGGATAGGTGCTGATGCAGTGTGTGCCAAAGTCTATCCTCTGTTTCTTGTTTGATGTTGGTTTTTAGGTGGTGCTAAGAATTAGAGGCCATTTAAGTGAAGGGAGTATGTCTGGTAGGGCAATAAACACACTGGAGCCATCAGTCTTTGCAGAATGATTTCGTAATAGTTGCACAAAAATACACTTTGCAAAACTAGAGGGATTTTTGAAGAACAAAATGGGTTTTAGGGGAGGTTAAAGACTATGTTTCAATCCTTGATGGTTTCCAAAGGATATTTTTGAGCCTGATAACTAATCTTGGCATGTGGTTTGATTTTTTTTGTTCATTTGTTTTTTTCACAGGAATGATTTTTAATGAAGAAGATCAGGAAGTGAGAGACTTGGGCTATCAGAAGCATGCTTTCAATATGCTTATCAGTAATCGGCTGGGATACCACAGGGAGGTGCCTGATACAAGAGATGCAAAGTATGTACTAATTTTTGGAGAGACCGTGCTATAATTGCATGTGCTCAGGGACTTATACCTGATACAGTATTTAACATTTTTGGTGTTACATTTCTGTTAGATATTCTTTCAGCCTCCTGTGTTGCTGAAGGCAGACTTTCAGCTATTTAAACAGGAGTGCTTGAGGTTAGGATTTTTCTTCTCTGGTCTCTTCTGTCTTTTTTTGAATGAATATTGTTTCTGGAGATCTAATCTTTTGCCAGCTGGAAAAAGTATGTGATAGGTAAAGCCCCACAGAAAGTAGGCTCCAGGAAAAAAGAAAGACTGCTACTCCCTGAAAGCAAAGTTTTCTCCTCACTTCAGGAATGCTTAATGAAGAACCAGGTTGAATATATGCTTATTCAGCCTTTTATCATATTAACTTTTGTGAGTAGTAGGGTTGGCAGACAGCTATTTTGATAGAAACAAGATTCAGAAAATAACATTTTAAATAAAAGTCAGTGTGGAAAAGACCTAAGAATCAAACTTTCTTTCCAGCAATGCTAAGATTACATATCCTGTGTCTCTTTCACCTTGCTAGCTGTGTACTTAGTTACTTAAAGCATGGTACAATGTTTTTATTTTTTGAAGCTTCATTTTGAGATACTCAGTAATGAAACTACCAGAAGAGATGCTATAATTCTGTTTGGTACCTTTGAAAGATGGATATTAAATGTTCTAGTGCCCAAGTTAAAAAGAGACTTTCACCTTACGTACTATTTCACATTTGTTGTAAGTTTATGGAGTATAAGATAGAAGAGTGACTGATGACAAAGACACTCTGTTCTCAGTTATAAGTCCTTGCTTGGTATCTGGGTTGCACTGCTCTGAATACTTTCTGTTAAAAGCAGATTTTTTTCTACAATCTGTCAGATGCATGTGGGGGAGGGAAAACCACCACTGTAACAACAACAAAAATACCCAACATTGAGTTGAAAAATAAATAAACCTGCATCTGTTTTTCTAGTGGCTTCTCTGGTGTGGGTAAATGTAATGAATCGTACTTGCTGAAATGTCTCTTCCAAGAGCTAAGTTCATTCCAAGTCAGTGAAGTATTTTCTTGTATATATCTGGGTTTTCATTTATAGTTTCTTATTTTTGTTGGATTTCCTCATGACTGACATCTTCAAATGGCATTAATCTGTGATACTGTGCCCTATTAGAGATATGGATAAAATTTAAAAATGAGGAGAAAGAAAGAATGATCTGCTTTGCGTGGGGTTCAGCTTGCAGATTAAGTTGCTTAAATTTAGATAGCTGCATCTTATTCAGTTGTCTCTGCTTTTATTATAATTAGCAGAGATCCAGTCAATGCAGTTAATGGAGCATGCAGAGCTCTTCAGCTGACAAAATGCACTTGTCAGCCTTCGGGCGAGCTGAACGCTATCTGTACTCCACTGACAGCAGTGACTAGACTTAAGTGTCTTAATCTGCAGGCTGAATCCCAACCTTGCTTGTCTAAATAGGTATTTAGCACCATTGGAAGTATTCTGGGCTCTCCAACCTAGTCTCCAGCAGCTGGCCAATAAACTTTTGGGTTTTTTGTAGGCCTCGTGTCATATTTGCCATTTTGTATATGTCTGAGCTACCCGAGGGTACTAGAAGGTGTTTTGACAGCTGAAGCAGGCCCTTAGTAGTTTCTCTTGTTTATGTCTTGAGGATCTGTGATTCTCACTCCCACCCCAATCCATCATATCCTCTGTTTTGTAAGAAGTAGCAATGTCAATTACAAGTCTGTATTATGTGGAGAGTAACTTACTGTGCTGAGCCCTGCTATAGGTGTTATACGCCTGGGCTCTTTATGTTCAAGTTAGGGGTTCTTCCTACACATTTCATGTTTGCTTGTTATTTATGAAGTTTCACCAGTGACCTAGCCCTATGGAAATCCCACTGAAAATAAAGTTGTAACTACTGTATTTCTGTTTGCAGATGTAGAGAGAAGTCCTACCCTTCTGATCTGCCGTCTGCTAGTGTTGTTATCTGTTTCTACAATGAAGCGCTTTCTGCCCTGCTTCGCACAGTACACAGTGTCCTGGATCGCACTCCTGCACACCTTCTTCATGAAATTATTTTGGTGGATGACAACAGTGAATTGGGTGAGAGAACCTTTCAGTAATATTTTGGTTAGTGCTTACACTTCTTGACCTTCCTGTCTCTTCCTGTGCTTTTTTGACTGGTCAAAATAAAAATGTGAAAGTCATAATGCAAAGCCAATTTGTGCTGCAGTCCATCTCCAAAAAGTGCCAGCCAGTACACATGATGTTCTGAGAAACCAAAGACGACATCCACTTCGACACCGGTGCCATTTTAGTGATGAGCTTTGTATCATACAGACTTGAATATTCAAAACCAGATTTTAAAGCTAATAATGAGGAGTGTATATTTGTGGAGGGTGTGATTAAGCAGTTGGTTATAGTTTAGCCTTTTTTTGACAGTACCTTGCTGGGACTGCTCTGGTGCTCACAGCAGATTACACTGATCCTTCCGTAAACTTTGTGGGCCAATGCTAAATGTGAATGCATCTGAAAGGAGTTGAATGCACGTAGTTTCAGCTGCAGCCTTGCAAATAAGTTGATGTGGCACTGTGGAAACAGTGTGTCAGGGTTTTTTTGGGTTTTTTTTGTACTTGCTCAGCAGTTCAGACTGGTGGTGTGCTGGGATCTAAGCTCAGCCTTTGCTGGCAGGGCTCTGCGTGGCTCTCGCACAGCCTCTTGTGGCCACCCTGGGAGTAGCTGTCCCTGGCTCTTGGAGCAGCATCTTCCCCCTCAGTCTGGGAGGCACCCTAGAGGGGTAAAACTTGCAGAATTGCTTACTGATGTTGAAAGATTGATGCTTGGGCATTTTTCTTGCGAATGATGGACAAGGCAAAGTCAGACACACAATTTGAGCGTTTTGGCATTTCAAAAGCAAAATGCCTGTTAAGGAGTGTTTTAGTGAAGCAGGACCATGAAAGTTCCCTGCTTGCCTCTGTACAAGTCCACAACTTTTTGCATTTTTAAAATGATTTTTAAATTTTTTTTTTTTTTTTTTTTTTTTTTTTTTTTTTTTTTTTTTTTTTTTTTTTTTGTACTTATAATTAGCTCCCTCGGTCTCATAATTTGGTTTCTGGGTTAAGGTCTCACTTGCTCTGGGAGACTGATTAGAGATGTATGATGTAGAATGAAATTCTCCTCTTATGCAGCTAGTTTATTTCTCAGAGGTCAGACCAAATGTTAAGATACAGGAAAGAACAAAGATCAAACGCTGTCCCTTGCTGATAAGAATGTGTAATATTTAAAAGCTTGGTTTGTGTTTGGGAAGCAATGCGCCCTCTTTGCTGCAAAGTCTCTTGTGCAGTTAGTTGTTTTAAAGTTTTGTAACCTTCGTATTTAGAACTAAGCTTACTTCAAAACTCAGTCTTTTGAATATGGTAATGCATTTGGTTGATTAATGCCCATGTTTAGGCAGTAATATTGTCCCTCTTCTGGTCTTTTGCTAATTCAAAGGCCAAATTGGGTTCAAAACATTCAAGTAGATACATTTGCCTTTCTGACTTCAAATGAACATTGTTTGAGGCCAAAGATGGAAGGATATATTGTTTATACACAGAATTACTGCTCTCTGTGGTGATGGTCCTACTGATGTTTGCACTGCGGCTTAATTTTAATGGATGGAATTTTACAGCTGAAGAAAAGCAAAGCTGGTTTAGTGACTGAGGAACAAAGACTTTGGCTGTGCCATGGATCTCATGTCAGCTTGGGCAAATTGCTTAATCTCTACGCCTCTGATTTTTTTTTTTTTTTAAATTCATATTCTCTACATTACATACTTACTGAAATGGTATCTTAGATGAAATTCTGCCTGTTTCTTCTGTTTTAGATATAGGAGCTCTGCTGCATGTAAGTGCTATTGTGCAAAGCTTGGGTCTTTGCATCTAGTTTTGCCTCAAAAAGCTGCTTACACTGAACCATCAACAGTCTTACTAGCTAAGCAGGCATTTCCATGGCTCAGCTGAGCCCGCTGTTATATTTTGCTTTCCCTTTGCTGCAAGGCAGGTTTTCTTTTCATACTACAACCTCTTTCTCCCTGATTTAGGCTTTACCTGTTACAAAGCAGCCTACAGGATGTGTTGAAGGCTGTTACTGGAGGCGTTCTTCTACACAGGAAAAGAGATTGAAGAACAGAAAAATAGCAAATTGCCTGCAACTCAATACTTTGAAATAATAACACCCCTGACTCCCATCCTAGATTTCTCTTGTTTGCAGGAGCCTTCATAATATAGATATGGAGCAAGATAATGGATAAAGTAATTTTTGGAGACTGTCTACTGCCTAAAAGGGAGCAATTCTCTCCTTGGAGCAAAATTTCTCTAGGCAGGCTGTATTGAAACAATTTTTTGGGTTATGTCAGAAGAAATCCGTCTTCCCAGTGGACATGAAGCTGACACGCCCATCAATGATGGGCAAACCCATCAACAATGAAAACCCCAAAAGGTGTCTGATATGGTCCATGATATGTTCAGTCCGAGGCAATGGCTGGGCATAGTTTCCAGCAGAATGCTAGTTTGTCTGGGTCAAAACTGTATTCTGAGAGCATGCTAGCCATTAGGTACTACTGGCTCTTACATGCTGCTGCTCAAGCCCGTGTTGTGGTCCCAGTTTAGCTACCATTATGGACATGACCTCTTTTTTTTTTTTAACTCTGTTTTCAGAAGTTCTCACATGCAAAACTGTTTCCTGCTGTATTGTATGTCCTTTCATGCAGCCTTATCTGCCCTAAGTGCTGAGTTTGATAACTGACCTTTTCTGCTAGCCCTTTGTTTTCCACAGTTCTAGACTGTCTTTCCCTTGCTATGATACATCAGGTGAAGAATGATTCAAGCACTAGTTTATTTCAGATTTGCAAATCCTTCTGTCCTGCTTATTTGGGTATGAGAGATTTGGGTACCATCCTAGAGATGACTTTATTTCATCAACTTCCTAGGAGATTTTATGCAAAACCCCCCTTTCCTATTGTCTCTGGCATATGATGTCACATTCAAGACCGGGGAGAGAATTTCTGTGACCCAGATGAATCCTGTCTGCATCTCTCCAGAGACTTTTCTTTGCTCTGCCCTAGAATATTCTCTAGCATCATGTTTGCTCTGTGGTGCCTTCTCATTCTTGTTACATGATGCTGCCTCGCAGTGCAAAGGCTGAGATCTTAGTGTTTGGAGTTGCTCCCGGGAATCTCCTTTTCAGTCTTCCTGCCTGAAAGTTCTTGTACTCCCTGAAGGTTACAGCTCTGGCTTCCACATATATTCCTTTGGCGTTTAATTTTGTTAAAAACAACTTTAATGTTTGAACCGACATTCATTGGAATAATAATATTTATTCCAGCATATCCTCTGTTGAAAGCCTGTCTGCCTCTTTATACCAAGGTTCTCTCTGAAGTCTCAGCTGGCTTTTGTTTTTCTTCCTCATTTTATATTCCTCTTTATTTCTCCATAAGCTTATTAACTTACATTTTTCCATTACTTCAGTCTTCATGGGTCCATCTTCTCTTCAGAGGTCCTGCTTTGATGTTAGAAACCACTGTCCTCTGGTGAAAAAATTATTATTACTCTTAAAATTGCCATTGATGTTAGTTAAGTTACAGTAGTGCCTATAGACTTCAGTGAACCTTGCTCTCCTTCGAAAGTACTTGCTTGCCAGCAGTGTCTTTGATCTTTTTGCATTTTAGAAAAGCAACCACCTATGAGTGAGCTGTAATTCTTTGTATCTACTATTGTATCAGCTAAGCAGGTACAGATAATGAAAGGGTCTTCGTGCTTCTTTTTAAAAGGGCGTTTGTTTTAGTGTATGGAACACAGTAATTTAAATCACTTGCCTGTGTGAAAGGGCTTTCACTACTGCTGCTGCAAACGACAGTCACCATGAGAAGAATTTGGAAATGCTATTTTGTTGTACAGTGCCTTTTTTTTTTCCCCCCCAACAGTAATTCTTTTTAGCGTAGTCTAGTAGTTCCAGTTAACTTGAATCATATCATGCTAAAGGCTTTGCAAATAGGACAAAACTGTAACAATCCAGTCTGTAAAACCTGAGACAGTGGCAGCACATAAAAAGTTAGTTGGGAAAATATAAGGAAGTACTAGTCCGCGAGAATGTGTGCTGTCGAAGGTTCGGTCCTATAGTCCATTGCCCTTTTCAATGCAGGGTATGTAACTGCTTTGTCCATGTGAGTTTCCACAATGCAGCAGGAAAAAGTGAAGCAGTTAATAGGAAAATGTGAGAATAAAACAACAAAAAAAGGCTACGGGAATTGGAGGGCAGGTGTAGGCTGTGGAATGGCTGACTGTCCTTTTGGCACTCTTCATTTGGTGCTGTATTGGGGTAGCTTTTGTTCAAGTTTCTGGCCCTTTTTGAGTTGAACACCTTGGGACTTTAAACAAAGCCTTCACAATTTCCATCCTGTTGTTGAACTTGTTTCCTTTTCTCAGCTGACTTGAAGAAAGACTTGGGTGAATATGTTAAAACTCAGCTTCCAAAAACCACAAAATTGGTAAGAAATGAAAAGCGGGAAGGCTTGATTCGAGGAAGGATGATTGGAGCCTCTCATGCCACAGGTATACTTTCTTCTTTCTCTTTTCCTTTCATACTTGGACCGTATGTTAATTGAGTGACTTCTCTTTCTGTAGTGCTGCTCTTGCAGATATTGAATGTTTGACCTGTGATTGCTTTAGCCCACTCTGGGGGCTCTGCATATCATGTGACATGACTTAGCACAGGGAAAGATTTGGGATAGTGGTATCTTAGGTGAAAGTGTTCTAAGCTACACGACTTAGCACAGGGAAAGAAAGATTTGGGATAGTGGTATCTTAGGTGAAAGACATTTTAGCAATTGTTTCGGAATATCAGTGACTTTGGAATGAGTTAATTGCATTGATCTTTGGCTGTTATATTAATCTATGTTGCAACAGCTACACAAAGTGTCTTCAGTGATACCTGTATGATGACGACTGGAGACCTTAACTGACATTACCTGTGTATTTAAATGTATATACCATGCTGTTGACCATGATCTATATGAAGCTTTCTCCAGTATTTCCTTATTGCTTTACTGAATTAGTCATCACCCAAGGTTTTTCTATTACTCAATGAGAAGGAATCAAGGAGGACTTGGCACTTGCTTATGTGTAAATAGAGAGTAGAAGTAATAAATTCACTGTTTTTATAGTTTGTAATTAACTTCAGAAATTTTTTTGCTGTGTAAGAGGGGAGAGATCTTTTTTTTTCAAGTCACCCAAACAGTGACTTGGCAAATCTGGAGACAAATTTAAGTGTTTCTTAAGCTTTGTCTGAACCATTAATTTCTTTTTTTTTTTTTTTTCCTTCCTATGTAAGTTTGTTTTCAAAAAGAGCTCATCATTTAGAGTGCATCAGTGAAATAGTAAAACAAAACCAGTATTTGACAAAATTTAGTGAGGCAATGTAGAATTTTCTGTGTTCCTGCCCTGAAAGAATATTGTCTCAGGAACATCTCCCTCTGTGCTGGATATGGTGTTTGCAGAAGATTTTCTGCATATTTCATGTGAAAACTTTCACTCTAAAATGGCAATTTGCTTCCCTATTAAGGTACGCTCTAATATGGTTTCTAATTTGTCCATCTAATTGTGACATTTCTCGTACAAGCCTTTCTGTTGTTGCAGTGAGTGTTAACTGCAATACACTAGTTTGGTGCTTTATGTACACTGTGCGCCTTTTACCATAATATGCTTCCTGGTTAAATTCTTTGGTGTCTGAGAAAGTATGTGCCACTTTCGCAAATAATTCTGAGTGACAGATAAAATCTCTTAATTGGTGTTTACTCATTAGCATTGTAATGGCATAATCCAGAGAGAAAATTGTGCTTGCACTTTCCAAGCTGTGCTAGGATTCATTTGAGTTAGTGCAATTTTCAGTCATTTTATTGCTTTTCTGAACTGATGGAGTCTGGGTTTTTTCCTCTTCAGTCAAATACTGTCTGCTGTTAACATGTGACTCTCTATATTTGTATGTTTCTAACTTGTTTTCTTTAAAGCTCTTTCCTGTCTCTTCCACATAAAATTTGTGTAACACTAGAATAATGTTGTGTCATAAAAATTCAGATGATTTTTTTAGACCAGCTGAATCTCAAGGTCTCTTATGGATCAAATTGTCCTCTCTGACCATGGTGGATAATCCCCATGTAAACTGATAGGACTGAAGAGTTGCTTGGTCTAATACTGGTGGATTTGGCTATGCCCGTTTAGGGCATTCACTCTCCTCCTAAACTGGTATGAATCCACAGTCACTCTAGAGCTAATGAAATGGGGAGATGCTCTATGTTACTTTATATTCAGGAATTGAAATGCTGTGGTCTGTGTCTTAGGTGAATGCACATTAATTCCTCAGAATACCTTAGTTTAACATCCACAGATCTTGGCTGCAGCAGTAATTGGATGGATGCCAAAGTGTGATATGAAACGAGCCCAGGGAGATTATAGTCAGTGGACAAAACCAGCTTTGTCATGGGGATAGTTCATCCAACCCAGTATCTGTCATCTTTGGCTATCTCTGTAGTCTAACTTGGGTGTGGGAGGTGCTCGACATTAGGATGAATGCACTGCCTCACTCTTAGAGTGCTGGTCTGATGATGCTTCATTTAAAGTGCAGTAGCTCTGCTGAATTTGGGTAGAATATGTGATGACTATAAAACCCTGTCAAAGAAATGCAAATAATGGCCCACTTGAGCAATTCATAGCTAGATGTGAATAGCCAGGATCTACCTTCTGCCTGTGTGACTGAACTAGTCCCTGGGGAACCTCTGGTTTGTCCATGTTTCCGAGTGCAGATGGTGTTTCCCCTCTGAGAATACTGCTAACGCTCTACTGCTGATAAAACTGCATGTGTGTTTGTGTGTTTCACTTTACCATGGATCTTTATTTTGAGTGTGGTTGCAACCGCTGCTGACTCCCATCAGTGAAGATCGCAGGACTGTGGTGTGCCCTGTGATCGACATAATCAGTGCTGACACGCTTACCTACAGCTCTTCCCCAGTTGTGCGTGGAGGGTTTAACTGGGGCCTGCACTTTAAGTGGGATCTTGTTCCTTTGTCAGAACTGGAAGGACCCGAGGGAGCCACTGCTCCAATCAAGTAAGGTTCCTCCTACATGGTGTGAAGGTCTGTGTAACATGTGGATGATCAGAGGCACGTCTTGAGCACTATGGAGTGTATCTGGGCGTGCAGTTTTAGAAGCAGATGCCTAATCTGTCAAATATCTGACTTATTTTACTTAGAAATAGTTTTGGTTACTATTACCTATTTCAGTTTAATTTCTTGCATTTAGTCACAAATTAGATATAGAATCATAGAATCACTTTGGTTGGCTATATTAGATATATTTGTCTTTATTAGGTCAAGAAAGCACACTTGTAGAGAATGCTTGTATAACAGCACCTTTTGCAAAACCCAAAAATCTTAAGGAGCTTATACTATACTGTATTAAATCTGTCCAATAATTTCACTTTTGAGCTATGCATTGATGTTTGTTTCCAGTCTGTCAATGTGTTTGGCTTAATGATTTTGATAACTGTCTTTGTGCTAGTAAGAACCTGCATATCCCACTAATGTAGGCTCTATAATTTCTGTGATGAAATGCTAAAGAACTGCTAGACTGGGAAAATATGTTTTTGTGGTAATAGGAAGGTGGTTTCATAGCTGATGGGAGAGAACATCAGAGCATATGGTAATTTTCGATGTCAACACTTTTTTGCTTTGGATTTCACTTATTTTTCTGCAAACAAGCAATTATTTTGTCATAAAGCTTCCTAAATTAACGTGCATAGATGTGAAAACCATCTTTAAAATATTACTTGTGTCTTTGCATGATGTGGCAAATGCCTAAAACTGTCCATTGGAAGCCTGTCAGTATTGGTTTTGTGGTCTGAATTGCTTGAGGGTCATTCTGAAAAAAAAGTTTTAGCACTAGGACTTGGAAGTTACCTTCCTTAATCTTTAAGTCATTGATGGCTGTCTTGCCTGTACAGAACTGACAATATCTGGTTCCTACTGGACATGTAACTGTTATAAAATGATGTCAGTAGAAGCCTTTTTTTAGTAGCAGACACATATGGTTCAGACGTGAGAATAGAAGCTGTCCCAGTGTGAATCCCTTCATGAGAAGGGCCAGTGCTGGCAGAGTCATGGCATGAAGCTGTTTGTGCTTTTTTTCTAGTTGCAGGTATCCATCTCAGTACAGAATTCAGATTTGTAAGGTAGAAGACTTTACCTTTTTTACAAATCGACTCCTTGTGGAGAATGTGGTATTTTTATAAGATTTGCAAAGTGAATCAGAAATTGGGCAGTCTCGTCTCTCTTCCATTCTCTTTTCTTGGACTGTAAAATGAAGAGCACTTCAGGCTGACGCAAGCAGCTCCAGCACAAGGTTCTCTTCTGTGGTCTGACAGCTCTGTAGTTAGTCTTTCCACATCTACCCATCACAAGATTTGTTCTGAGAAGCCAGGAACCTTCTTAAGTTACTTAACAGTTTGACTGGCTTGTTTGGCAGATGTCACTGTGGCAGCTTCTGAAGCTAGAAGGGAAAGGGCAGACTGGGAACCAGCATAGGCTCTCTTAAAATCCTTATTCTGTTAAGAACTGCTCTTACAGATAATCTGGGGCATGCCTGAAGGTTAGTTCTTGCTGTGTTCAATGCTGTTGTTGCATTCCTTCAACTCACTTTTAGGAAAAACTCCATGGAAAGGTAGAGAACTTTAAAAGGGAGTCTAATAATCTAAAAAGATTACATTTTCTGAGTATGAAAGTGACTTTTCCTACTCAGAGGTCTCTGCCTGCTTTGAAAAAAAGAAGCTAGATTGCTATTTAAGCTTTGAAAATGGCTTTCCATCAAATGGAAAGTCTTACATTTTACATTTTAGAGACCTTCATAATGAAATATTTTGATGTCAGGGATGGAAAAATTGAGAGCAACCTTTCAAGCCAGGTTTTAAAGTGACAGAAACTGTTGTAGAAAATTGTGTGAGAACAGGCAAGTAAATGCAGACTTAGGCTTGTTTTCATTGCAAGTTTACATTAACAAGGATGGGGAAAAGCCTGTTCACAGCCTATTGTATATTCCAACTATCATATTGTATTTATGTAATGTTGTTACTCTGTTTTATACTCTTCTAGGGCATCCACATTTTATAACTTTGTGATACAGTAGCAATTCAGTCTAGAGACTGTACAACAGGGGTTATATACAGATTTTTACAAAATAGATACAGATTTTTACAAAATAGAGCACTGTTCTAGTAATGCACAGGCAAGGTCAAAAACTGGGAAACCCCGAAGAGAACATCTGTGCAAATATAACAACTGTAAATAACTTGCCAACAAAGTGATCATTGCATCAATGATGAAACAACACTGCTCCTGGTATTTCAATTCTAGCTATGAGGTAGAGTAGCATTTCTTTTAGCAGCTTCCTGGCTTGTATAAGTTAAATTTGGACCTTGTTTCTTGATCTAATTTAATATGGAAAAGTAACATATACTCTGGATTCTACTCCTTCTGCAGTCTGTATAATTTGCCCCGTAAGAGGGGGAAGAAGACCTTATTGTGGGCAAGTGAACACATTTGTAACTGTAGAGGAAATAGGTTCTGGTAAAGACAGATCTAATTAAAGGCAGCTCCTAAGTTTCACTGTAGAAAACTTGATGGACTCCAAACTTGCACAGGCTTTTACTTAATTTTCTTAATAGAGAGGCACCGCTTTGTTCCTCGTTCCCTGTCCTATCCATGTTCAAGTTTACTGTACACAGAAATAAGGTTTACAGGTATTGGAATAATGAAAGATCACAAATACCCCTTACAGATCTGCTTTTGAAAATGTTTTGAGACTAGAAGTGTGATCTGACGTGTGTCTAGTGTCTGCAGGATTTAAATTGTATTATGTAGGTCTAAATTTAAGCTTTGAGACTAGCTGATTCAGTGAAAAATTGAAAATTACATTTTTATATATATAAAAGAAAATGAACTACTTTCTATCTTAGGTCACCTACTATGGCTGGAGGCCTGTTTGCCATGGATCGTGAGTACTTCAATGAACTTGGACAATATGATAGTGGCATGGACATCTGGGGAGGAGAAAATCTGGAAATCTCCTTTCGGGTAATCTAGCTTTCATGTGTATGAACCTCAATGTCTGGCTGCTTCTCTTCCCTGTGTAGAATTTCTTTAGCACTGGAATAGCTATTTGCACACAGAAATTGGCACTTTCATTCCCAGGAAGGATGCCTTCAGTGCACACTAGCTGCCTTTACAATAATCTTCAAGTTAAGTTTTAATGGGAAGATTAAAGAGAATTTTGAGTTCTGTAGTTAAATGTGTGTTGCTTTTTTTTTTTTGTTTGGTGGATCATTTCATAATACCTATAGAGAAGCAAAACAAAAGAATAAGCATGCAAATTTCTGAAATAAGTTTATAAGCAATATCTAATGAATTTCACAGGTTGGTTAAAAAGATGCATGGCTCACAGCAATATTGATAATAAGTAAGTTTATTATATTTTCTTAGACATGTATGGGGCTTTTCAGACACTTCAGCCTCTTTTTTGTGGGCCTGGAATTGTAAATATTTTATAACTAAATTAGGACTCCTGTAGAAGAGTCAGCTTGGATGGGAAAATGAGAAAGTCGTAATCAGGAGATCTGAAAGTGATACTTCATTGGGCTTCCTATATTTTTCTCACCTGCCCTGTCACTCCACTGAAAGAAAAACAACTTTTTGTGCTTGATGTCATATTTACTGCTTCACTTTTGTAAAGTGGATTCATCGACAGGTTTGACAAGAGTCTGCCTGAAAATTGGATGCTGTCATGACAAATATGAAAAGGGGATTAAAAAGTGAAATTAACGTAAAAAAAAATCCAAACCCCCAACCCACAACCCCCAAAACTTTAGAGAAATCTGTCAAATTGGGTTATCGGAGAAATCAAGATTAGAGCTCAAAAAAAAGAACTGGCCCTTCATAAATTTGAGTGACTTCAAAGGGGTATGTAAAGAATAAATAGAATCTTTCAGGTTTTCAGTACAAAACATAATTATTAGATATCTGAGTAGAAGTACGTGACGTGTGAAGAAATTGTTGTTACTGTGTAAAACACAGTTTCAATTAAAAGGGCTTTGAAAAACTGGAGTATATTCAGAGAGCTTTATAAGGTCAGGAAGCCCCCTCTCCCTGGGGGAGAGTTGTAAGGAACTTTATTCTTTATCTTATCCAGAAATTTTAAAAGTGACTTGATTATAAAGTGCTAAAGTGAGAAGGGCCAATGAAGATAACTTGCTGGAAGCTGAAGTTTAAAAAGGAAAAAAAAAAAAAAAAGGAAATAGAGGGTAAATAAAATCCAGATCTGGGGTGCAATGGAGCTGGATTAAGGCAAGTAGTATCTGAATGCAAACAGTATTTCTGAGTTCCCATATATTTAACAGAAATAAGCAGCTGTGTGAAATAGGTGCTTATACTTGGGTGAAAGGTTCCTTTGATGATACTGACTAATCTTTATTATCTGTCATGGAAGTGTGGACAAGTAATTCTCATGTAGGCAAATCAATTTAGAGATCTTAATCTTCACGTTGAACCCCAGGCCGTGTATTTCAGTGTTTGCTAATAGGTCATTAGAGCATATGTTTTGTGAAAGCCATGATGCGTTATGTGGAAAGCATGATGATATGACAAAAATAGTCTTTTCTAACCTGAAGGTTTATGAATTTGATTTGTCAGAAGGCTTGACATGTAGGACAACATTGCTGACACCTAATGGCATCACCTTGTATAGACCTACCCAAGTATCCCTTGAAGAAGGGGAGGAGGTAGTGAGTCAGTATACGTACAGTGAGGTGTGTTCTGGTTTTGTATGGACAGATCTGGATGTGTGGTGGTAGACTTCTGATCATCCCCTGCTCCAGGGTGGGACACATTTTCCGTAAAAGGCGTCCCTATGGCTCACCAGGGGGACAGGACACGATGGCTCATAACTCACTGAGGCTGGCACATGTGTGGATGGATGAGTATAAGGTAAGAGTCAATTCTAGGTCACGAAATAATGTTATTAACTGGCTTCTTTGTCAAAGCATTGTAACACAGTGGGGTCTATTAACCATCTCTAATGGGGTGTTACTTCTGTAGTCTGATTTCCCAATGTTAATTTTGATATGAATTCCTAAATTCTGTAGGATTGTTGTTTGGTTTTTGCGTGCTCAAATCTACTCCCTGTTATTTCTGCTGCTTCCAGGAAATTCAGTTTTATGCCTTTTTAATGAAGTAAAAAATGACAAATGAGTTCTTATAAGCTCTGCATTGTTTTGTGTCCAAATCAGTATTATGTGGCAGCCATGCACTACTGCTATATGCCTTCAGGTAGTTTCTGTGTTGATGAGAGAGGATTTTGTTGGTTGGTTGGTTGATTTCTGTTTTAATTATCGGTCTGACTCTTAGTCTGTCTTGCCCTGGAAGATCGATTGGAATTGACTTATTGATTCGAGGGCAAGCATATTCCTTCCTTGTCTTCAGATCATGGTACTGATGGTTTTAAATGTAGATCAGGTTTTTGTGAAGCCCTGATCTCTGTAATACTTGAGGACATTTTTGCCTTGTGAGACCATAGATTGGCTGTGTGGCCAGCTTCTGTGGTCCCTACAATTTCTATACAAGACATATTTTATTTACTCTATATTCTGTAGATGTTTATGTTTGAAACCCCATTCTTTATCTTGATGTTCAGTCAGATCGAGGAACCTATTAGGGGTCATTAATTTTTATCTCCATTCTCCATCTCCATAATGCATTAGTAGATTTGATCTATCACTTTCCCTTTTATTGGTGTCTGGGCACAGTTGTTTTGTGATTAATGATGGCTTTCTCTGAAGCTTGGAATTGATTCTTTGTTATAATTTCCAGCTAATACCGCTTTGTCCAACAAGGACTTAAACTGCTGATTCTAGCAGTATCTTATCACAGACTTTGTCCTGAACTTTTCCAGCTGTTTCTAATCTAATTCTCTGATAGTTGCCAGAGACTGTCATTATGACAGACTTATGTATGGAAGGCAAGCCTGGAAATATTTTTTTTGTTTTTATAAGTGTAATGCAAATATTTAGGGCCAGTATCATTTACTGAAGTGATTATATGATGAATAGTACAAAGATAAGACTTCAAGGACCTGTTTTGTGGCAAAGAGCAAATATTGATATCTAATAAATAAAATTGCGTGATGGAAGGGAAATAGCAAAAATTTTGTAACTGGCAAAAGCAAAATGTATAAGTAGTAAGTTCATGTATACAATGGAAATAAACTATGCAGAAAAGGTAGGATACTAAAATTTGAACCTTAACCGGGAAAGAGGCAACTGGAATAACAGAGGTACTTTTCTGAGGCAGACCAATTTCTGATAGTGATGTTCAGTCTATCCCCAAATTCCTCAGAGTTGTCCTAATGTCCAATGTACTTAATGCTTCCCCTTCCTCTGCTATTAATATAGCAGTGATACATCAAGCACATCCATATGCTCAAAGATCTTGATAAGGACAGATGTATAATTTGTCTTGAGATGATGCTGTCTGTCATCCGAATATCGGAGGCAGCAGTAGGTAATTGAAAACTGTCAGAACCACGTTATGGTAAATTCCAGATGTTTGCTAGAGATTAATCCAACAAAATACCGTAGCTCAGTGCCCTGAAAACAGTTTTCCAAATAATATCTAGTAAACTAGTTAATGTGCAAATACAATGCCTTTTCTATGAGCTCTGTAAGTCTAGCTGGAATTAAAGATGCCAGAAGGGGATTTTTCTTCTAGTTTTGGTAAGTGTTCATGCCACATTGTACATTCATGAGTTCCTGTTTGTCCCCATCATCTCTGCATTAGAGTTGAACAGCACGTTAAGACTGAGCTGGAATCTTAATCCATCCTTTCCTAATCAGGTACAATTCTGAGTATAATCATAAATTAGAATATGAAAAAATAACATTGCGGGAGCCTTTCTGGGGATGATGCAGATGAACAGAAAAAAATGGGCTTAGCAGAAAGCCCAGGTGATGGTTCTGATTCTTCATGCGAATAAATGCATGGTCCCACTGAACTTCACAAGATATATAGGTCTATTCTGATACAGATTTTTTTTTTTTTTTTGTCCTGGTAACTTGTAAAGTTGGAAGGCTGGAAATTATGGAAAACAAAATACACTTGAACCCCACAACAATGAAAACAACCAATTGGACAATCAAACTAATTTAAAGAAACCTTGGCCAGATGAGGATGATGATTATACACAAATCTGTTTCTGACCTAATGACTCTAGGATGCCTTTATTGCCAATGGAGTGTAGGGCTCATTTGTTTCTTCCTCAAATTGGCACCTGAAAAAGGTCATGCCTGAGAAGTGTCTTCATCAAAAAAAGCAGTCTAGAAAGATTAGCTCAGAGTTAGGCAAGATAAATCGTGCCTCCTGTGGTAATCTTAAACACTGGAATTTCCTAATGCCAGTTTCAAACTTAATGGTTGAAAGCACTAGCAAAATGAGACGAAACTTTGGGAGTTCTGCAAACGGGAAAAAGTTAGAAATCAATAATCTGAAATTCTTCTCTTCTTGTCCCCAACCTGTTTCTCTAAATACAGGAGCAGTATTTTGCTTTGAGACCTGAGCTAAGGATGAGGAACTATGGAAATATTACCGACCGTGTAGAATTGAGAAAAAGATTGAACTGCAAGTCATTTAAGTGGTATTTAGATAATATCTATCCTGAGATGCAAATATCTGGGCCCAATGCCAAAGCTCCACAGCCAGTTTTTATTAATAGAGCACAAAAACGACCGAAAATAATTCAGCGTGGAAGGGTAAGACAAATTTTCTTAATTAAAACCTGGAATTGTATATTTTTATTTTGAGATTCTGAAAGATTTGTTCAAATAGAAGAAAAATAGTCTTGTTTCCATAGAGCATAGAGTTCTAGTTTTCCAAAAAGCTGTCTTGAAAATAACAGAATTTGTGTCTTTAGACAAAGGCAAGTAATTTTCACTCTGATCTGTATTTCAGGTCATCTTCAGACTAGGTAGTATTCAATGAGATTTCTTACCTCAAAACTCTGAGTTATGAAGTTTTGATGGCTTTAAAATGTGCTTTCATGGCTGTCGGTTCTGAAGATGGATTTGGATAGAGAGAAGTTTGGCCTCAGATGTTCATGCTCTGGTTTATGATAAGAGTACAATGTAATTAGTTTCTGAACTCATTGTTTTTACTGGGTAATTTTCTGCAAAGATGAGCATTTGCATCTGAGACTGATAATGGCTTTTCTAGTCTTCACTGTTAGATAATGAACAAAAGATGAGTTTTGCTCGTTTTTTTTCTTCAAAGTAGAAGTGAAGAGATAAATTTTTACATGTATTCATGAAGGAAATAATGATTAAATTCATGCCTTGGCTCTGACACCTGTGTTTATGGGTTTGTATGCAGGCAAAGCCAGCGTACAGTTGCATTCGGTCTCTCCAGTGCCAAATTAGTCTGACGGATTCTTTTTACACTTCCCCAAAATAATGGATAGCTTCAAACCTGAGACAACTTTCTCAGTCTTCTATGTGTGCACATGGATTATGGCTAGCAGATTCCTTTCTAGCTCAATAATTGGAAGCATTAAGTAGGGATGTAGTGTTCCCCACAAGACAGCACAGTCTGCAGTAGCTGTTGATGGTTGCTGGTCCTTGCCAGTAGATTCAGGCTGGAGGACCTGAGTGCATGCAGAACCTATTGACATCATTAGATTTTTGCTTGGAAGCAGCTATCTGGGAATCCACAAGTTGTGCAGTATTTTTATAATTGTATCCCAGCCAAGCTGTAAAGTTATTTATTAGGGCAACCATGTAGTTCTCCTGAATAAAACTGATACAATGGGCTGCTTCCCCTAGTTGTTAAATGCTGTTATTCCCCTAGTCAGACCTCCCCCTTTCCCCCCCACCCCCCTATTAAATTTATTAGCTGTCTGCTTTCATTCAGACAGAAGTTTAACTAAGGAATTGCTGATGTGGGGGAGGCTACCGAGGGATCTGAATCCCTCAACAACACTTAAGGGGAAACCTTCCTAGCAATAATTTCCCATGGTTTAATTTGGAGAAAAACTTTGCGCACCCTTTAAGAAGGGGGAGACAAGACAGAAAAATGCAAGTTCCTTGGCTTGATTCTCTGGGGTTCAAGAATTGTACCCAACATTGTGTGAGAGAATCAGCTTTGGCTCTGATGATTTTATAAACTATTTCCAGATGCCTACAAGGAACAGAACGATCAGCCAGTGTCACCACTGCGTGCCAGACTTCAGCATTCGGGATGAATCACTCCAAATCCCAGCTTATTCTCAAAAACTAATTGGGCCAGAGATAAGTGCTGGTCTGACAGCTGGGGAGAGCTGTAATGATCACAAATTGTGACAGTTCTTAACAGTGTTATCAAATGCTGATCATCATGGCCAATAAAAACAAGGACAAAATTCGTATAAAGCTCATATAGCTGTATGGTTTGAAAGCCTTCTGTTGAGTGAGGAATGATGAAAATGAGATCTCTCCTAGAAGTCTCTGGGGTGTGAGGAAATGTTACTTAGAAGGTTTTTTTTAATTTGTTCAGATGTGTGTCCGGAATAGCAGAAACATGGTGCACTTGAGGAGGCTGTTGATGTGCCTTGGGACAGCTATTTCCAGAAATGGTGTTTAGTGAAGAATATGATTTGGTATTCGTACTGTCTAATTTTTGCTGTCATGTGATGGAGCAGTCCTTTCTTTTTATTACTGGAAGCGTCTTTTAGTTTCTAAAAATCTGTGGAATAGATACAAACGCCGAGACAGCTACGTATGTCTTCGTAATAAAATGCAGCTAGCTAATTAATCAGCCTGGCCTTGAGTTCAGGACAGCAAATTCTTTTTTTTTTTTTTTTCCTCTACATTCAGCTCCAGATTGGAAATAATTATTTTTAATGTGGATGCCAGATCTGGGGCCCTGCCATACTGCACAGATGCACACACCCAGTGACTATCGAATGCACTCCCGTGCACTTAGTAGAGTAAGGTTCTGCTGCAGTGAAGGAAATGGTGGAATTGTGGCCATTGCTAGAATAATTGCCTTTTTCCTTTGTAGCCTTGGCTGCGTGTGGTGCAGTTCTTGATGAGCAGGCAGTGACTGCTGCCTGAATAGCATGATCCCCACCACGTTGGGGGAAGAAAAATAATCAGGCGGAAAAGAAGTCTTCTGCTGGCCACCAGTTAGTTTAGGGCACGGGCATACTTTAAAGCCAGAATAGAGGTGTTTTGTCTCACCGAGTAATCCTGTGGGGTTGCCTACATCAACACCGTAGTGACTCCTGACTGTTGGAATAGGACAACCTAATCCTCAGGCTCTGCAGAAAATCTGCGGGGTGACTTTTAGATCGACCATCATAGCCCAAACCCGGAGAGATTGCTAACTTGCTGGGAGCCTCCTGTTTGCTTTGGTGGTATGTGCTCACAGTTTTGCAACCCAGGACAGGCTCCTGCCTGAATCTGGTCCCCTGTTACAACATTATTCCAACTCAGAGTAGGCAGTACATTCGAACTGGAATGAGCATTTGGGCGTGTCTAAAATTTTCCCTTCTTCCCTGATCTGTCATTAAAATAACTTAACTGGTAACTATGGCTTTTCAGTTACCTGAACATTCTTGAATTTGCAAACAACGTAACCCTCTGAAGTTGCTTGTATTTATGTAATTCCTGCTCCTTTTTCAAAGAGGCAGTCCTGGTTTATGAAGAGAGGCTGTGGGATGAGAGTTACATTTAAGCTAAACTGTAGGAAAATGTAGTCTATACAGCATAGTTGATATTCCTGAGGTAGTGACTGCCTGGGACCTGAGACTTTCGTGGCCAGTGACGAGGGGAAAGGAACTGGGCACAGCATGGCCACCATGTGCTGGCTGCCATGTTGTGTGTACTGCACTTGTACCATAGAGAGGGAAATCTTGATGTAATTAGAAAGAAAAATGGAACTGTTTAATGCTGCATTTTTCTCCCAAGTTGTCTGAAAAACAAAATGGTATTTCAAATGGGAAGGAGTTTTTTGTTGTTTTGTTTTTAATTGCGGGTTGGTTGGGTGTGGGGATTTTTTGGGGTTTGGTGGGGTTTTTTTGTTTGTTTTGGTTTTTTTTTTCAAGCAAAGGATTACCCTATGTTCCGTTTGGTATGTGATACTTGTTATTTACTCTTACTCTGTCCATCAAACTGTTTTCCTTTCACAGTTATATCACCTTCAAACCAACAAATGCCTGGTTGCCCAGGGACACCCAAGTCAGAAAGGAGGCCTGGTAGTGGTTCGGGAGTGTGACTACAATGATCAAAACCAGGTATGATATTGCTAATATTATAGTGAATAGTGATTTGCGTCTTACAAATTGCGAATATGTTTTCCTGCTGGCAAAGTGCCCCAGTATAACATCTCATCAGCAAGCAGGCTGATTTCAGAGTATTGTTCAAACCACAAGGCTGGCCGAGGAAACTGTGGAGCTTATTGCTCTGTACCTACTAATGCTGAGTGTTGGCTATTATAATCTCCTATCTTTATGGCATGAATCTTAGTATGTGGCTGAAGACTACCTGTAAGTGGCTCCTGACAGGTTCATAATGCACTGATTGACACGCTAGAATTTCTAGAAGCTCTTTCAGTCAGTTCCTCATACCAGGATTTAAGTTAGCCTTTCCCTGGCCTGCTGTTCTTTGTGTACTGTACAATGAGTCCCCTGCTGCTGGAGTGGCTGTAGTTTGGGATTGTTGTGGTTTAACCCAACAGGCAGCTGGACACCACCCAGCCGCTCTCTCACTGCCCCCCTCCCCTCAGTGGGATGGGGAGAGAATCAGAAAAAAGGTTAAAACCCATGGGTTGATATAAAGACAGTTAGATAAAACAGCAGAGAAAAAGAATAATAATGATAATGTCAAGAGAATATACAGAATATACAAAATAAGTGATGCTCAGTGCAATTGCTCACCGCCTGCTGACCAACGCCCAGCCCATCCTGAGCAGTGATCTCTCTCCCCCGGCCAACTCCCCCAAGCATGATGTCCTATGGTCTGGAATAGCCCTGTGGCCAGTTGGGGTCAGGTCTCCTGGCTGTGCCCCCTCCCAGCTTCTTGTGCCGCTGGCAGAGCAGGAGAGGCTGAAAAAGTCCTTGACTAGTTCTAGGCACTACTTAGCAACAACTAAAACATCAGCATGTTATAAACATTATTTTCATACTAAATCCAAAACACAGCACTATGCCAGCTGCTAGGAAGAAAATTAACTCTATCCCAGCTGAAACCAGGACAGGGGTGAATGCATGATTTGTTATCTTTAAATAAAAGGAATTACAAGGAATTTAGGAAATTCTTTGACTACAGGTGAGGATTAATTGGGGATGGATGTGAAAATCTAATGAGAGGTTTTATATTGCTACAATGAAACCTTTGCTATTCCACTTCTTTCAGTCAAAAGAAATTCAGGACTTGGACAAACAGTCTCCAGGGTAGAGAGATCTCCACTTAATGCCATAAAGACTTTTACCTAGCTAAGAACTACGTTGAGAACATTATGATTTAGGAGCCCATGGGACTGAAGTCTAAAAACTAGATTGCTTTTAAAGAGAAAAGTAACCAAAGACACAAAATAAATGGAGCATGGGTTGTAATTCAGTGTGGCTTTGCCAAAGGTGGGTTGTGCTAGACTGATGTTACTTTATGAAATGGGCAGAAGTTTTCAGGATATGGAGACTACAGAAGTAGAAGCAGGGTGATTTGTGATAGTCCCAAACAAAAAGTTGTATGCTTTGTCAACTAATGGGACTTTTTGCCTCCTACCTGTGGTCTCACCAGTTGAATGTGACGGAGGGAGACAGTGTGACGGGTGTTAGCCAGTGTCTGGATAAGTGTGGTTGGCTGTAGACATGTGGTCTCCAGTTGCCACTTAGACAGGACCAAACAATACAGCCCTGCGCTTCGCCTGTGGAGTACTGACATCTCTATTACCATATTTTAGGTCCCTGTTTTAAAGGTGGATGAATTTAAGCTGGAATGGGATTCGATGTTTTCCTATGTGATGTCTTCCATTAGCTGCAAGAAAGTCAGCAAGTCTTGCTGCTTGTGTAAATATAATAGTAGCTGATTGGCACCCGTGAGCATACATTTACAGCGCCAGAGGTGTTACGCTGCTTTCTGAGCCGTTCAGTCTGAGTGAGAAAGCAGCAATGACTTCCAGTGGATGAGGTCCACAGTAAGAACAGATGGGTCCTCACAGTTGCTGCTTTCCTTCTCCTTCCTGCAATATTTCTAAAAGTGAACTGCCACATGGCTGTAGGAGGAAGGCCGTTGTTTTTCCTTATCAAAACCTCTTCTAATTTTTTTTTTTTTCCCTTCATCTGGAAACAGAAACTTCAGTTAGCCTGTTGACCTCTGGCTTCTTTTCTCAGGAATGGAGTTTACTAGTTGTAGATTAAGCAATTGGTTCTCATAAAAAGACTGGCTGTGCTATCTTATTTCACAGTGATTTTTGTTCTCCAAGTATGTTAACCAGCACTATGGTTTTCTCCCATTAGACTTATTTTGTTCTCTTAATAAATCCCAAGAGTGCGTTCAGCCAGCTTGCTTTCGTATCCTCTTGAACAATCTTGCTATAGATACACGAGAACAATGTGGAGACCGATGACACTTAATTAACAGCTCCTGCTTATAAAAATAGCAAGAAGCTCCCTGAGTATTGGAAGCTTTTAACTGTCGTTTCTGGGAACGCTCAACCCATTGGCATTTTCAGCCGATTTTTGCTGTAGAACCATCTGGTTTATGCCTTTGGCCTCGTAAGAAAGCCTGTGTTGGGTCTGGTGAAAGGTGGGTATCCAGCTCTTTGGATGCCTACTGGCAGCTAGTTATGTGTGTGTTGCTTAATACACACAGTGCAGACAGTTATTCTGGAAGATACTTTGTTTAGTGTTTTTTTCTGAGCCAAAGATGGTATTTTTGTAGAATTTTTGCCTTTTCATGAGTGTCTAATTGTATTTTGCCCTCATGTAAGCTTTTGGCATCCTGTGGCAGTGGGTACCACAGCTTAGCTGTGCTTTCTGTGGAAATAATTTGATGCCACTTGGGATTGATTTAATTTGATGCCAGCTAATTTTTTCCCTGAGGAACAGGAATAAGTTCTCACTGTTTATCTCTTTCCAGGCTGCTTTTGCTTTGTGAATAGATAACACCCTCCCTTGAAAAATACATGCTACTGCTCAGTAAGTTGAAGGAGCAAGGTGCAGTCTACCTGGGAAAACATGCAAAGGGCTGGGAAAACAAAACTGGGCTGCCTTAATTAAGACTCATTGATTGCAGTTCTTTTGGTTGGAAGATGATCTTCCGTATAACCTTTTGACTGGAAAATGGTCTTCTGTGTAATATAGATGATGCATGCATACGTGAGCACTGACCTTGAAAAGTGTGTGTGTGTAAACCAGACTCACTGAAGTCATGAGATTGGCCTTACAACCAAGTCTGTTTTGCCTTTAGTTTATGCTTGCTTTGTTTTCTCTAGTCTTCATGTCTGCTAAGAAACTTCAGATTCTTACTTAACTCCTTGATTTAAAAGAAGTAACAGTAATTGTGTAACTTGCAGTTGTATCGCCATTATGGGTAATGCCTTTAATTGACATTGATTTAGATGACCATCATTAAGGAAAGTTAAAAATTACTCGAGCACATCAAACTACCCTATTTTCTAGGACTTGACATGACAGTGACATTCAGTTCATCTTTTTGCTATAGAAAGAAAAAGCAATAAGGGAAGTGGTTTTCACAAAGGTGATGCATCCAGAAAATATTTTTAAAAATTTGTGTCTTCCAAGTTATAATGAAAACTAGGACATTTCATTAACTGTAACAGAAATACTCAGTCTGGAATAATACTGGGAATTGAATACAAATTTAGGAGTAAGTGATGAAAATTTTGTAGTTAGAAATAGCACCAGTAGAAGAGGTGACAATATCTTATAGAACAAAGGTCAATGCAGGGAGGTCTGAAGTAACAGAAGCAGCAGAAAAATTAATTGTGAATTTTGCAAATAGAGGACTAATATGGAATGAGAAGTTCTGTAGTTGGAGAGGTCATGTGAAGGAACTGTGAAGACTGCCACAGCAAGCACTCTCCTGAAATTCAGTAGTGTGCCTGACCTCTTTCTGGAAACAAAAGACAAGATAGTGCACATGACAAACTTTGGCGTTGAAGGTGAATAGAAAATGTTTAAGCACATTGAAAGATCATCCTGAAAGACTGGAGATGTCTGAAAAGTGGAAGAAAGAATCCGTGGTGTAGATTCTACCCAAACCCATCAAGCCAAGATTAATCAGGTTGTATTAGACAAGGATGCCGAAGCAGGCTTCGAGCCCTAAAGGAGGAGGAGGAGAAGTGGTTACTGGCAAACTTGGAAGAGAAGCATCAAAGAACACTTAAAAAAAGGAAGGTTTTGGAGTGAAGCACAGGGGCCAGCATAGGACAAACTAGTGGGGGTCTTTGCGATCTAACAGCTAAAAGAAGATTGGGTTTGTCATGTAGCTCATGAGTACTTGTCTTCTTCCTGACCTAAATGCTTAAAGCCAAATTCCTTTTCCAAAAAATCTCCTCCTTAAGCCCACTGAATTATGTGGATGTCTTCTACTGTTTGTTTTCAAGTATGCCAAGTTGATTCTTAAGCTTTACTTTCTCTGTTGTTACAACCTCTGCTCTGTGTGTTTACTTCATTTGAATAATTTAACCTTTCTCTTACTTAGCAATATATTAAGCTTTAAAAAATGTGACTGTTGCCATTCCAGCTAGGTTTGGTGCTAAGGTGTCTAAGCATATGTGCTCTGGGCCTTTAGTAGATAACTGATTTGAGCAGGGAGTTTCAGAAAAGCCCTGTTAACAGTCTTGTAGCACATAATAAATGTAAGAATACATACTTTACAAACTGGTCAAGAGTCAGAGGCTAGACGGATGTGCTCACACGTGCAGTTCTCTGTAAGGTCTTTCTCCCTAAACCCCTCGATCATGGCTGCTAGTTTGCTTTTGTGATACAACACGTCTAGAGTGAGTGTGAAGACGTGCAGGTTAAGTCTGCTTGCTGTTTTTCCATGAACTATTGAAGGAAAGCAATTCTTCGGTCCCTCTAACAATTGTCACGGAACGTCAGCCGCACACCGAACTGTGGAACAGAAAGCATCTATCTGCTTTGGAATGACCTTCAGGAGGACGTGGGGTTTTCAGGGTAGCAGTAGCTTAAAAGAATGATTATAGACCACTAAACTTCACTGTTTCTGATGATTTTCACAAGTCATTTGGTGCTGTGATGTCATGGTT